TGTGGTGTTGCTTATTTTAAATATGATTTGGTGTTGCTTATTTTTTAAACATGTGTCCGAAATATTATTAGCTTTAATACTGTCTTTTAATTATATAAGCTGCCTTGGGTCCTTATAAGGAGAAAGGCATGGCAAAAATGTTTAAAATAAATAAAATAGTATTAGCAATGATACAGTATAGTTGTTGTTGTGGGTTTTTTTGGGCTCTTTGGCCCACAACAACCATTAAATCCCAGCCGTGAAAGCCTTAGCAAATACATACAGTATAGTTATTGGAAGATTACAGCTGTGACTGTGCAATAACTGCAAATTTCATTTTAAACATTTTTATGCTCATTCAATCTGGGAAGGGTTAAAGCCACACTGGAAGGGACCACAAGATAAACCAGCCTATTAAATACTTGAGCTTGAAACTGTGCATCACAAGATGCTGAAGACTACCTTTCCTGTCGTTTTTATGCTACAAACCGCAGTATGAATTCTGTGATGGTGGAGAAGGAGAACTTTGAGGGTGAAGAACAGGAAAGAGATCAATAAGAAGCATCTACAATATTGTGGGCATTCCTACTGAATGTTTACAAACACCCACACCCACACTAGTTTTTCCAGCTATCACATCTGAATAGCTTTTCAGGTTAATTGGATAAGAATCTTAAGTCACTACTTTGAATATTTCTGAAGCCTCCCAAATTAACAGTACACTCAGCTTTCAGACAATTGATATATGACCAAGTTCTACATCCCTATGAACAATTATATACAAAATACATATAGGCCATTTTTAAAATTTGCAATATTCTATGATAGGTTTGTGTATTTGCAGATCTCTGTTTTAGCAATTTGGGCAAGAAACTAAAATCCACCCACCCCAATAGGTACAATATAGAGGGACATCCCTGCTGCAATGTACTTTTGATGGGCAGATGGTGCTAAATGTCTAATTCTTCTGTCACTTCTTGACTGTGTTCAATTCCTGAAAAATGGATAATGTAGAAAGTGTCTTAAAATACGTTTGAAGACTAATGCCAATAACTAATTGATTCACAAGTTATAAAAAAATTTGATCAGCCAAGTCTCCAAAATACATAGAGCACTGCACTGGATTTTCATGGAGTTACAATTTATGGTGCAAAGGCTATCCTGGGAGCTGAGATGTAGAAGATATATTCCCTGCCAAAACCATGTACACAATATGATTGCTCTTACTCCTTGGTTGTTAATTTAAGTGTCTGAAATAAAAGCACATGCTACAACCCATTTTTTTTGCTTTATCATTCTAAGTACAACTTCAACAATTCTAGACCAGTGCAAGCTGCAGAAAATATTATAATCACAATTCATGCCTTTTGTATTATCCATGTTTGTACTGTTTGTACGTATACTCTTGTTGATAGAAAGTTTTTCCATATAGCATGCTTCTTCTAGACTCTTCTTTTACTCAATTATATACACAGTTCAAAGGGATATTTTATATGCACGTTTCCTTATTTCACAGCCATATCTCCTAAATAAAAGGTGGCCTACAATTCCTGCAAAGTATAAAGAACTTTTAAAATTTTGGGATAAAAATGTGAATTCACCTATTCAAAGGTAGACAGAAGAGAAAAAAGAAAGAGAAAATCTACATACATTTTCCAAAGGTGCCAGAGCTAGTACAACATTTATATTTTCATTATATTAGACTTTCAGCATAAAATGTGTTTTAGAATAATAAAAAAAAGACCCTTGAAAAACCCACCTCCTGCTTTGTGGTCTTTTCACAGGTTTCCAGATCTGTTCATACTCCCTACAAATAGCAACTTCTGTTTCTTCACTATGTAATCCCAATCAATTGAAGATAAAACATTATGGCAAAACACAGCCAACCAGATTTCATTATACAGTGATGCACTAAGGCCAACAAAGCATTGACCCACACAGGCTTCTCAGGAAGACAGTGTTGTGACACTGTCCAGTTTTACCAAGCACCACTTCAGTCTAGCAAGACTTTTTATCTTCATCCAGCCCTAAATGCACATAGTTTAGAAATGGCCAGCTGAGATGGAGTACACAAAGAGATGCACATTCTGATTTCACCCATATTCTACCTTTTCTTATTGTAAATAACTGAATAAGAGAACAGACCACTGACCAGACACATTTGCTCTACTATTTGTTCATGAATTGGCATGCTGGATCAGAATAAGTAGTCAACCAGGTGCCCTGGCACGAAACCAAAATCACAATAATGAAATGAAAGAGGTCACCCTCAAAGACAGTGGCCCCAAATCACTCAAGGACTTCCATGGTTCATTGGGGACCAGAACTTGGCTCTTCCACACTATTGTCCAGCACTTGACTACACATCACTGTCTCCTCCCCACTGAATCTTCCATCATTAGGTTTCAGAAAAAAAATCCCAGCTTGCATGATGAAAGAAAAAAAAAACTTCTCCCTATCCACTTTTCCCCTATCATCCGTAATTTTATACTCTTACTTGTTTTCTCTTACTCGTCTTTTTTCTTAAGCTAAAAGGTCTCTGTGGCGGATGCCCAAAGTCTCTCCTGTCAGTCACAGCAGAACCTCATGTGTAGGAGCGAATGAGACAGCCCTCATGTGCAGGAGCCAATGAGAGGGCAGCCCCATCACAGCACAGAAACCTAACCCCACCCAGCCAAAAACCATGCTGCAAAAACACCCAGAACAGTTTTTTAAAAGCAGAAAACAGGACCTTACCTTACCAGGCAGGCTGAAGCCTCCCTATAAACACACACATGCTCACTCAGAAGCAGAAGTGAGGCAGTCCCAAGCCTCCTCCAATGCACACTTTCTAACTGCTGGGGCGAAAGAGCTACAAAGAAGCATCGCCACCTACAGTTAGAAATTTGAATGTCCCGCCTTTTTTCCTTGCCTTTTTCTGTTCCTAAGTGGAAGCTCCGGTCACAAGTAGAAGCAAAATTTTACGGCCGAGCTGGTCGTTAACTCAAAATGTTTGTAAGTAGGGGCATTCGTAAGTCGAGACACCACTGTATGCACTACTAACCCAACATTGTTTTTCTTGGTCAGTAACGTTGTGATTGGCTTCATAGCCTCTTTCAGAATGGGGGAAAACACTGAGGTGGTAGCACTGCAATTTTTTCACACAAAGAAAATGTCTGCATGCTACTCAAGTTTTTCCTGAAGTTTTATTTCAGTGTACAGTGGTGCCCCGCTTAACGCTTACCCCGCTTGATGACGAATCCACTTCACAATGAAGTTTTTGCAATAGCTTTTATCAATGAAGTTTTTGCAATCGCTTTTGTGATAGCAAAATGATGTTTTAATGTGAAAAATCAGCTTTACGAGGATCAGTTCCCTGCTTCGGGAACCGATTCCTCGCATTACGACGATCAAAACAGCTGATCGTTGGGTTTTCAAAATGGCTGCCGAAAGCTCAAAATGGCTCCCTGCTATGTTCAGGAAGGAATTTTTTGCTGCAAAGTCATGAAAAATGGCCGCCCTATGGAGGATGTTCACTGGACGCTGAGGTATTTAGCCCATTGGAACGCACTGAACCGATTTTCAATGCATTTCAATGGTCTTTTTTATTTCGCTTGTTGAGGATTTCGCTCTACAAGATTATCCTCGTCAAGCGAGGCACCACTATTTGATGTGTATTTCATCTTCCCAGTTCTGACCTGGTTCAGCAATAATATTGTCCACTGATTGGAGAGATTTAACTAAAATGTAGAAAAATGGAAGATGTATTTTAAGCTGATTTAAAATTACAGAAACAATCTAAACAATCTAAAATACATGAATATAATGATCTTTTTAAAGAAACATGAATTTAAACAGCAGTTGGAGAGTTCAACCTGAAACAATGGAGTATGATGAGCAATTTTCATTACCTTGGCTTCACTTTATAAATTAGTCCTCAATCTGAGCTTTTAAAAAGATCCTTACTGATCAATTCTTTACTTGAAGTTATGCAATGCATGGAAATGCACACAGCCATGGTGGTGGAATACCTACTACTTCTCATTCATGCTCAGCATTTCCTATATGTATCCTCAGCCCAAGAGAGGAAACATATGACATGAAAAATTTAAAAATAAAAGATATTTCTCAGCACTTCCAGAGACAACCTCAATGTTGTTCTCAGTCAGACTATACCACTAATGGTATCTACATGTCCCCACAGACCTCTAAGATTTCTCCACCACCTCTCTCATGCCATGAAATAAAATGTCACAGTCTCCCTCCATCAGCCTCAGTAGCCCAAATAGAAAGAATCCCACTTTAGCCAATTCCAGGTATCCATATAAATAAAATTTAAACTTTCCTAGCCCCTTCCCCCTTTGAGTCACAAAACAGATGGAATGAAGGAGAGCCAATGCTACATAGCAACTGCAGACCTCCTTCTGCAAGATGTCTGCAAAGAGCATAGAAAACCCACCCAGGACTGTAAGATGAGACCTAGCCAAGCATTTGGGGTTTCGGTCCATCATACTATCCTACACCAGGAAAGCTAGAGGATGGTCTCCACTGAAGCATATACCAGCCAGTAAATAAGAATATCACATGAACGAATTAACTGGCAAATATAAAAGTCAGCTTCCATCCCACACCTCCCTCAGCTCCCCAATCACCACTGCTTCTGTTTTGCCTGATAACCTGGCACTATAAATGGGTGGGTGGGGTGGGGATCTTCTTTTAATGATATAAAGCTGCATTGTCCGCAGGGATGTCACTGTGGACTGAGGAAATACAGGATGTGGTACAGGTATACTCCTCTCCTCCAATTCTGCCACATTTTGACTATCCCATAGCATATCCAGGTTGTTCTACCTACATATCTTTTGTGTTCATAGCACTTCTCTCGAGTTCATATGAAATAGGAGGACTTCTGCCAAATCCTATCCCTCAGGTGCCAGAACTCAGACATAAGACTGAGCCCTGAAACCTGTACTTAGAAATATATTAATCAACTATTAAACATGTCATTCACACACATTAACTCTATTCTTTAACAAATTTACCTGCTGGAGAAAGGATGTTGCCCCACAAGATCTCCATTCTGCAGATGGTAATCATTGAAGAAATCTGGGCTCACTGCCCCATCATGTGTTATCAGTCCATCTATAAAAATGAAAAGCGCAGAAACTGAGCATATTATTTTTAGAGCAAAGCATAACATGAAACTTACAGCACTCACCTTTTCTCTGCTGAAGCAGAAACACCAAAGTGCTTTGAACAAAAGTGCTTTGTCTATAGCATGTGGTCATGACAAATTAATGCATTTGATTATGAGCACGTGACCTGCCAATACCTGTCATTCTGCATGAAATCTGCTCAGTACTAGCCACATCAATCTGCTGTACTGTGATGGAAAATGATATTATCAATTGAAGAGTGAGCAAACTGCCAATTTTTATTTACTTTGATTTACCTTTGTATAACATATGTGTGAACAGGAATTCCACAAATGGGACAGTCAGTATAACCTTTTGTTTTGTTCAAAAGGAATTATCAGCAATTAAGCAAAGCTGAGAAGGAACAAACACAAGCAGGCTGAATGTATGGTTGTACTATTCTTAATGCTGACTATGATATATATTACAGTATATGTAGTAGGAGGAGTAAAAAGGTAACAGATTTTGGAAGCTAACATGGAAACAACACAGGTGCCCAAAGATTACAATTCCACTGTTGAATTGCTGAGGTACAAAAAAAAATATTAATGTGCCTGGTCTTTGTACCAGAACAACACAAGCCAATACTGTAGTAAACAGACACAATTTTCCTTGCAATGTAGACATATTCAGAGGATGCTTTCAGCCTGAACAATTTCTAAGAAAAATGACAGGCAAGAGTGGAAAATGAGGGAAAACATCATTTCAAATAGTTGGCCTTACAAACTGTTACATGTTATAATTAAAATGTTACTGAAATATCTAACAGGGCTGTTTTTTTTTAAACTAAGGCATGGGTGGGGCACATAGGCAGTTCACCAATACCTGTGTTTGGGCATTTAAGCATTGAATATGTCTTAGGTATGCCTCCTGTCACCATGCATATCCTCAGTGTTTCCCTCATTTCTGTGTCTATCTCAGTGAAAAATTTCACATTGCTGTATAGAACATCCAGGGTGGGTGGGGCAGGAGGGTAGTGTGAGCTGAGAGATAACCACTCAAAGAATCACAATTACATACAAGCTACATGTTCTTCAGCATCTCTGTGAGCCACATATACAGAAAACTGACAAGCTCCCAGGAAGGAAAAAAAAGGGGGGGGGCAGTCACATTAGGAATGAAGAAAAGATTGTTCTTCTGAAAGAAACATTGCTGTAGGAACTGTAGCCCAAATGATACTGACAAACAAATGTAGAAGAAGTTGGCTGGCTGGATTTCAAAACCTGGTCCTCTCTCAAGAAGGCTTTACATTCCTTTTGGAATGACCCTGGATTGGAGGTGGGTAACTGAGCATTTGACAACATTGTAAAATACTTTGCAATTTACTCTATAATGGTTATGGAGGAATTTGAAGTATTTTTGACGGTCCCACAATGTATAGGTAAATGGGAATTAAACCATCCTTTTTTCCTTTTAATCTGAATCTTTTCCTCTGCCTCTGGGAGCCTTTACTGTTTTCTAACCGCCAGGGGCCCAACCACAGTCCACTGCCTCTCACCCAGTGGCTGTGGCCGGCCGATGGTCGCTGGCTTCCTCCTCACGCAGGCACGCTGCGTGAGGAGGAATGTCCGTGTCATTGTTTGTTTCAGGTAGCATGACTCTGGGTGGTGTTCTGGTGATGTAGTAAGTTCGGATGTGATGTTTTGGGGCAGCAGGGGCACCCAGACTTCATGTATTTTGGGTTTTAAAAAAAACTACTAAGTCTAGAGCTAAATCACCTGGTCAATTCATTGCTATATCAGTTTAGCACTTGATCATCTATGCACAGAGAAAAAGAAGAAAATAAAAATCGGTATAAAATCAAAAGAACTCCCATTAATTCCAGCAGACTACAATGTTTCCCTGGTATGTGTGAGCTTGTACATGTATGAAGGACTTTGGATAAATGTCCCTTTCCCTCTACTACTGTGTAACCCTTTAAACAATTCCAGCAACTTGACAGCAGACCATAAAAGGAAAACCTGTGAATCAGCAGGAGAGAGGTATCAAGGGAAGGAGGGCTGTGGGCATGGATTAAACTTCCTCAGAGTGAAGGCCCAGTGTGAACACAGGCACAAAAACAAACCAGGGGCTTTGTGTGGTTACTTAAACCAAATGTAGTTGCAAAACAGACTGCAAACCAAGCCAATTTGGTTTGCCGTTGTAACCACATTCTCATATTGAGCAGTAATTATTCATATAATCCACTTGGACGAATATTGCACTGAGATGGCACGGCCGTTTAGAGTCATTTATAAACAAATACATTTGGAGTTTTACTAAAACTCCTTGTTCTGTCAGTGTAAAATGCTAATGCCCATCTCATGTCTAATAGTCCTTTCTAGGGGTAAAAGTTCTTTCATAAAGGTAGGCAGGCTGAAGTCCTAGGCCTGAAAATATTTCTGTCAAAAGAAAATTGATGTTGGGATAAAGTAACAGCTTATCCTTACAGAAGACCGAACAAGGTTAAGAGAAGACAAATCACTGAATCTAAATTCAGGAGACTGCCACCATTACTCTCACTTTAAAGGTATCAGTGGCCACTAAGGGCTTGAATAGTTCACTTATCTACAATACAAAGTGAATTTATACACAGAGGACACATTTCACTAGCTTATATGGCTCCCAAAAAAGCGACCATCACAGATAACAATCAGAGGTGTACTGCAACAAGAGGTTTAAAGGCCGTCTTTGTAATCTATGAAAACATAACTGTAAAACTCCAGGGAGTTGCCATAGGAGCTGTTGGATGAAAAATAAATAGCAAATCATTTTAGGAAAGGTTTAATTGTTGGGTATGTAAATCCAAGATCTTGTAGAATTAGTTCTTCCTGAGTATTTGATGGTAGTACCTTGGCTTGCATGGCTTCATAAGGATCTTTTTTGACATTGTCTTGCAAATGGAAATGGTTAAAGTCAATATTGACATCTGTTTAGAAATAGTATCTATGCCTCTACTGATTTTTCTTCAGTCTGGATTTTTTGTTTTTAATGGCCACATGAGTGAAGTAGAGTGGTTACTTACCTGTAACTATGGTTCTTCTAGTGGTTCTCTGTGAATCCACACAACTGGGTTTTAACTGCGCTTGCGCTGGATCCTCGGACTATTCTAGAGCTTAAAAGAGAAACATTAGTAGTACGTTGTCCCTTACCATGCATGTCCCACCCGCCCAAACCTCAGTTCCAAAGTCCGCCATCATCAGAGCTCTAATGCTAAGACTAAGAGTGACGGACAGTGGGGAGGTCGGGCAGGATGTGTGGATTCACAGAGAACCACAAGAAGAACCACAGTTACAGGCAAGTAACCACTCTTTCTTCTACGTGGCCTCTGTGAATCCACACAACTGGGTGACTAGCAAGCTCACTTACCGGAAGGTGGGCTGTAACTCCAGAACAGATGTGAGCACAGCTCTCCCAAAACAAGCATCCTTCTTGGCCCTGAGGTCCAATCGATAATGAGTCACAAAGGTGGACGGAGTGGACCATATGGCTCCTTCGCATGTATCAGAGATGTCAATACCACGCATCAGGGCCGTTGAAGTTGCCACAGACCTGGTAGAATGTGCCTTTAATGTCTCTGGTAGGGTTTTACCTGACAGTTCATAGACCAAAGTAATCATAGACACAGTCCATCTGGAAATAGTCTGTGAAGTTGCAGGAGAGCCTGTGCAAGAACCATGAAAGCAAACAAACGGGGAGAGTTACAAAAGTCCTTAGTCCTGGACGTGTAAAATGCCAAAGCACGGTAAACATCTAATGAGTGGAGCTTGCGCTCAACAGCCGAAGAGGGTTTAGGAAACAATGTGGTTAGTGGTTGATTAACATGAAAATATGAGACAACTTTAGGGAGAAAGGAGATATCTGGGTACAAAATCACCTTGTCCGGGAAGAACTGAAGGTAAGGTGTATCAGCTCAAAGCGCAGTCAATTTGCTTGCTCTTCTAGCAGAGGTTATCACTACTAAAAATAGTATTTTAAATGACAGGAGTCGAAGATCAGAGGAAGCCATGGGCTCAAATGGCGGGCGTGCAAGAGCTTGGAGAACACCACACAAAGACCACTGAGGCATAGGAGGACGAGCAGGTGGACGCACATTTTGTAGACCTTTCAACAACATCTTGAGAGTACGATGTGAAAACAGCTGGGAGGCTTCAGACCCAGGCAGTTGGTAGGAGACAATGGCAGAAATATAAACTTTTAGGGTAGAAAAAGCCAAACCAAGGTCAAACAAATAACGTAAATATATGAGCAGGGTATCAATAGATTTACAGATATGGTCTGTAAATTTCGTGAATCAGCAAACCTTATAAAGTTGGACCATTTATATGCATATAAGAGTTTTGTGGAAGGCTTCTTAGCCCTGTCCAAGACTTCTCTAATTGTGGGAGAATCCTCCAGGCCATCAGATGCAGAGAATCTAAGTCCGGGTGGCAGATCCTGCCTGCATCCTGCATCTGCAGATGTGGTAAAGGTGGGTGTCTGATGAATTCTGACGCCATCATCTTGAGAGTGGTAAACCATGGTTGCCGAGGCCATCACAGTGTGATCAGAATGGTATTGGCGTGAACCTGATGAATTTTGATTAAAGTTCTCTGAATTAGTGGTATGGGAGGAAATAGGTAAAGGATCCATCCATTACACCATGAAGGCATCCCCGAGTGACGCCTTGGCCATCCCTGCTCAGGAGCACAACATGTTGCATTTGTTGTTGATGGTTTATGTGCAATCGACTCTCCTTCTTGGACCAGAGGGCATGGATTCTGTGAGGAGCACAGTGAGCTCCCCCACTGTGGGAGCTTGCGTCCGTTGTCTCTTGAACTGTAAGTTGTAATGGGCGGAACAGACATCTCATTAGAAGATTCGGGATGAATGTCCACCATTTCACACTGCTCTGCCAACTCTGGAGTAACCTGGAGACGCTTGGAAGGGTTGTCTGCCATAGATCAAACAGGGACAGATACCAAGCCT